CCCCTTCGGGCACGTGGTCCCCCGATACCACCCCGCTTATGAACGCTCGAACACTTGGCATTTGGCATCAGAACGCCGGGGGTGGCCCGGCGTCATGCGGGCGTGCCCACACGCAACCGCGAAGCGTCGTAATAATATACGTCTTTACACCATCCACAATAGGCTTATAGGTTCAGCGTCTCTTTGAATCAAGACTTGGATCGATTATAGTAACAACGTTTGGAACATTTTAACAGCGGTTCCCACGAATATAAAAGACCCAAGAATTTCAGTCATGGACGTGGTCAAAAAAGCAAAGCCACGTTTCCAATAGTTTATTTTTGATGAAACCAACTGTTTACGTTCGACAGCAGTTGGCCGGTGTACCGAAACCAACGGAACTGCGTACAAAAAAGATACACGAACGAAAATCTTATGCTCTTTTCAATGCGGCGTTCGTAGGGCGCGGCGCCGCGTTCGGTCATACGCATCGAGCAATGGATGAATCTCATTTTTTAACGTTTTCAAGTAAAAAAGACAATTTACCGACACGCTGACAGAAACCGTGATTAATTAACAGCCACGCGACAGCCGATGGCAGGCGCCTCATATAAATTAATCAACGCGACCAAAAATGATTCATCGGGACGATGATTGCTGTTGCTCCGTTCAGAGGAACTTTTAAATACAGAAGCATTTTTATTGATTGCTTGTACCCTAAAACGTGTTTAAATATATTTTCGTTTGGTTAGATAAAGTAATTCTTCAAGCTATTATTATAATTACTTTTTTGAACATGACAAGTACTCACAGATTAAAAAGATCTCTTTCCATGATTGACTTGTAGTCATTGTCATAGTTATTGTAATTAATTGACATATTCTATTCGAGGAATATACTGTTAAGTGATATAATTTAATTGTTCCCATCCCTTTCACCATTGAACCACAACATGGACCGATCTCCATACTTGTTGTCGATATTAGGATCGAAGAGGCATGCCTCATCTTATTCTTTTCAATACTTCCCGTTATCTAAAATGATTTCCTTACAGCATTTCACACATTCTCAAATTAAATTTTACAATGAATATTTGAAAACCAAAGTTTTTTTAGTGCCGGTCGCATAAAACGGAAAGCGCTGGTTTGATTCCTGTCAGTGGCGAAAAATTTTGCGTCAGCTATATCTGCACATTTTTTTAAATATTATTTTCTTCTTCTGTCTTCGATTTTAAAAGCGTGAAGATGGTCAAAGCCAAATGTAAAAAAAAAATGAATAGAGCGTGTAAATGGGCGTGTCTTCACGTTGCCCTCTGGGGTTGCCATTGTACAAGTCCGTATTGTAACAATAACACAATAACACGCCGGCGCCAAAGTTCGGGTATTTATTTGTGTTAGGCACGTGGGGGCTGGTCGAATGCGCTCAGCCCGAGATATTTCCAATTGTTATGTTAATCACTACGCTTCACCCTCTCGCTGTGTTCTTTAATTAACATTCAACAGCGTGTGTAGAATTTTATTAGAATTAGTTCGATAATACAGACAGGGCACAAAATATTACGAATTCAATTATAATACGCAGACTAAACTAAACAGATGTTCTCGACGAATATAAAATTGGAACAATTACATTCCTGTCTTATCGGCATCTTATACAAATCTTCAATTATCTGCTTTTAGGGTTCCGTACCCAAATTGTAAAACGGGACCCTATTACTAAGATTCCGCTGTCACCAGACGGTATCTTATTAACCATGATAGTTAGACAGTTAAAACTTTCAGGTGATGTTATTTCTTTTACCGCTATAACGAAAAATACTAAAAAAACAGAATAAAAAAATATTTAAGTGGGGCTCCCATACAACAGACATGTTTTTTTTTTGCCGTTTTTATAGATAATGGTACGACAAACCCTTCGTGCGTGATTCCGACTAGTACTTGGTCGGTATTTTCCGTTATCAGCCTAGCCTCCAGAATTGGATGCAAATCCATTATTGGTCACAGTCGGAGCACGAGAATATCTAACGTCTGAAAAATAGAAAGAGACTACAACTAGAGAAGAAACTATTCGGTTCTTAAACTTAGATTTAGAGCATGAAAGGTATACATTAGATTCTAGATATGTACGTCTTGCCTCAAGTGATAGCTGTTTATACGCTAATAATGTGTAAATAAGTATTTATCAACGAAAGAAATGTTATTTTGAAGAATTATGGCAAGCTTCATTTAAACCAATTGTCAATAGATGTCATTATCACACATCCTTTATAAGAAATATTTAAATCACGGAATGGAAGAAACAAAACTACTTTCTCTATTCCGTCTTATAAACCAAAGTTTTTTTTACTAAAACATTAACTTTATACAACTTTCGTCATTAGCGGTTTTTAGATAGAGTGGTGTTTGAATCATGAAATTTGATTCAGAATAAATGATACACTTTGTTTTGTAAAGATAGAGTATACCAATGGGCAAAAGGCAAATGATCCAAGGGTCCCTCAAATCTACAGGTTTGAAACTCGGCTTGGACGATCGATTGTGGAGGTATCAATATCTAAATTGATACCTCCTGCGATTAATTCACGAGACATAATTACATCCAATGATCACTTACGAAAATAATTAACATAAAGCTTTAATATATGAAAACAATTAGAACAACACGTGAGATTTACAAAAGTACTATCGTTTTATGAAAAGTGTTGTACTTTAAAAGTTATCGCGACAAAGAGACGCGTAATGAGCGAACAATCATGTGCAGACTCGCTATTAAATATTGTACCAACTATATATACTTGTCGGCTATATTAAATATCGTACCGCTATTAATATAAATGCGCCGTGAGGGATTCGGAAGCGACCTAGCGTTCGGCTGTGAATTGGGTCCGTTTTTTGTTATAGGGTGCAAATCTTCAAAAGACCCCGTCATTTGGGGGACAGAGAGATAGGAGACAGGGTTACATGGGGTTTAATTTGAACCCACTATAACCCCTTCGGTGGCCACCTTCAGTACGTTTCGAGGGGCTCAGGGATTTACTACGGAACGCACTGCTGCACCTTGATACTGCGCATGAACATTGCTCTGAGAAGAATAAACCTTCCCTGATTATTTCATCATCTTACGGCAGAACGTGATCACTATGCATTTGTGCCCCTACCTGGTCTTTCAAATGGACGATCATGGCCCCAAATTCTATCGTCCGTATACTAAGTATCCCTTTAATTCATCTATTGCCACACGCAGTGGATAACTTAGACCTATTCTATAAGCCCAGAACTACAGAGCTGTTAGGGTGGCACGTCCATTTCCGCCTATCCTACGTCTTCTTCTCTTAGTGGAAACGGCTTTCTCCCGCTCTGTGATCTGGTGGTTGACAAACATCCTCCTCTATCAGGACCAGGATCCATCGTTCAAATTGCCATGCAGCGTCGTTTTGCTGTTGGGAATGGTAGGGCAATTTAGAGGTCTCTAGGCCTCGGGTCAACAAAGGAATGGACACTCCTTGGCCCCAAATTATTTTCCTTTGTTTTGTGTTAATATTTAATGTAATCATGTGTGTACAAAGTACTGTGGGTAAAGGTAAACGCGAAAGAAGGTTGTTTACTAGTGTTTACTAGTCTGAGTTTAATTTGTTTTTTCCAAAGTCTCTATTATGGAGGCCCCGGGGCAGTAGCCCCGGTTGCCCTCCCCTAAATCTGCCCCTGGAAAATGGTGACGCGGTGTTGGTCAAAGACCTGTTCGCTTTATTGTATCCTTACGGACGACGGACGACAACTTGGGAGTTAAATTGTTTAAAGTACACGTTAAGTACATTTGGGATAGTCTAAAACATTTATATGAAGGCACCGTCACGGATGACGGGACGGTCTGAGGTGTTGCGGGATAGATTATAATAGCATTTACCAATGGGCTTGAATAAACATTCATTTGTTTAAAATGTGTTATCGATTCTTCTTTAAATGAGATCGACAGATTAATGACTTTAAGACGGCGTTGTAAATCTGCGTTTGACATACACCACGGGGTGCCGGTTGTACCACGAAGGAATCAATTTTGAATTATTTAAGCAGTTTTAAGTGATTTCCGGGGGAAGCACATCACAACAGGTCTATTCTCAACATTTTTTCACGAAGAAAAGTGAAGCTTATACAGTCAGTAGAAAAGCCAGAAAAATCTAAAAATCTATCGTACTACATACATACACTACATAGATAATTGGTTAAACATCGACTATCCATATTGAAGTGACATCGAAAATTCACCATTAAAATTACATCTATTTCTTAGTATATAAGTTTTGCCAATGTCTTGACATTAATTTTTTTTTGCTGTTTATTCTATTAATAGTTAACATAAGAATTATTTGTGTAATCGATATTGTATTTTGGTTAAACTTGATCCATCTAATAAAATGGATTATCTTCCAGTTGAACCAAAATCTCAGTGCCATCGCCTCGATACACTTTTTGATCCTCCTCCTCTATCATAATTAACTTTAGTAGATTTTTTTAATAAAACGAGATGAATAAATCAATAACAGAGAATTAGAAATAAAAAAGCTATAAAAACGAGATGATATTCATTTTTATTTAAACAATCTTTCTTTCTAAAATTTTTAATCCACCTCGTAGGCAGACTGAATAAATATTGTAATTTTGTTACATTGTTGTTAACATTTTGCAAATTGTTGAAATATAAAATAAATTTTATATTAAGAGTAAAATGTAGTATGTTAAATAAAACGTAAAATTATTACGTTTTTGATTTACAATAGAACTTCATCGCATTTCGATTATCGGTTTTGTCGCACTAGTACGAATCTACGAATGCGACACATGTTTGACTTTGACATCTGTGACCGAAACGAAAACCAACGCTTCGGGCTTCCTTTCCTTCAACTTAAGCAAGCTGTTGTCCTATTTATGCGACTAAAAATTATAACTCTGAATTCTGTTTCAGTACCTTGTTTAAGCGACTGCGTCTTTTTTATTCCGACAATAGCGTCTTAGGCATAAGCAAAAATGGAATTGGTAAGTCAAACCTTCTTGTTCCACTTCTAATTTCTTTCATTCCCATTATATTTTCTCTAACACGACACGGAATGATATTTATATACAACTAAGATCTTATCTAAAACTGTATTTCAATTTATCACCAGAGTTTATTTGATATATAGAATCATACAACGTAGACCATCGGTGAAGTATCATTTTTTGGTTATAGCCATTGGCGGTGTGTGACGTTTGCCAGAAGATGATTTATTATCAGTCGATTTTCCGTTTACGGTTTATGGATTAACCGGGTTTTAAAGTATTCAGTTAAAAATTGCAATTTTTTTAGTTTAGTTTAAAATTTTGTATTATTTAAACGTTCGAAATTCTGAAATGTGTAGTAACATAATTAATCGGTCTTAGATGCATGAAACCGCACATAGTAATCATAATCCGTTTACAATTTAATTAAATAATATAGCAAAGGTCATTTTTTAAATTGTATGTGCCTCAAGTAATGGGATGATTTACTTAAATTGTGCATTATATAAAATGTACTTTTGCATAAAAGCAAGCTTTTACATTTGAGTAGCTTGTATGTGGATATAAACTTGCTAAAGTATACTTCAATGTGTTGCACCTATTGGTTCATTTATATACTTTTATACCATCAATGATGTGTATCATCTTTTCAATTCCATATTACATATTCTTTGCATCATCAATGTGCATGTGTTTTTCCATCCCTTGTTATGGATTCTTAAGCATTTTCCAAATATATATTGACTTGTTAGTTTCATGTATAATTAAAATAATGTAATGAAAGTATAGTGTCAAATTTTTTCGATATAAATTGTGTTGTGTTTTCATAAGTATAACAAATCATTATTTGTATTTTCATTGCTATATGAGTGATACTCACAAAGGAAACAAAATTAAAATGTGATCATACTGGCACATTTAATTGTGAAAGACACATAATTTTTTCTACGAAAGTGATCATACAATCGAAATATAATATTAAGCAATTAATGAAGTTGATACAAAACAGTGGAAAATAATTTAAAATTGTCAAACTTTTCCGCTTACATCAATGTTTACATAAAATTAAATTCTTCACACCACAATTGCCAATTAAGTATAATAAAATTAAAATATGTATTAAGATTTATAATATCTTGTATGTACTTACATAATTATTTTATTAATTATAAAAAATAATATTAGGCAGATTATTATTATTATTGAAAATTTTATATTAGAGTGGTATATTACTTCAGTGGCTCTACAAATTACTTTTTGTATTATTGGTGAAAGTTCAAAAATTTTATATGGATAATGGTCATTCCTAAACCATTAATTGCTGAATCATATTTTTCTAATATTTGTGTAACAGCACACATTGAAATATATTTACAACATAAATTAATCATAAGGCAAATGCACATAAGTTGTGTTTATAATTCCATTAGATATTCCCACAAGCGTGTATGTAAACAATTGTGAATTTGTCAGTGTTTAAATACTTTCGGAACGGTTCAGTGACCAGTGCTGTCTCAGTTGCAGGGCGGTGAGGGGGGCGAGGCGGCTGCTGCAGCCCCGGGTGAGTAGGCGCTTGTGTGCCGTGGGAGCGCGTCGGTGCATTATCGCGTTGTACAGGCACGATTGTTTCGCCCAGCTAGCGGCGTGAGGCACAAGCGCCAGCGTTTTTGTACGCTCTAAAGCCGGCGTGTGCTCGCTGTTGCAGGGCGGCGGCCGGGTGCGGCGGGCGGCGGCGGCGGCCTAGCTGCGGCGGCCCACGAGCGCATATTCAGTGATCTCTGTTCTGCTTTCTGTTACAGGCTAGATATTAAGTTAGGTTAACGGTACGCTTATGCGTCCGTGGCGGCGCGCGCGCCCGGCAACGCGGCGCCACACCGCCCGCACAATGTACCTACTTCATTATTCCGCATCGTCCCCGCTTGATTGCCGTGTGAGTGTGCCACCCGCCCGTGGAAGGCAGCGTGCGAGCGAGAGGGCTAGACGGGAACGCTTGTCCGGTCGGGTGGTTTAACGTGGGCGGGTGAGCTGTGAGTGCTGGCGTGCTAGTGGCGAGTGCCAGGGTCCACTGCAGTCCGTTGGTCGCGACCGACCCAAGCTGACCGACGATTTGCATTGCAGGTGGCTTCCTGCCCGCGCCCGTATACGATCTTCACCAAGTCGGGGATGTCTACACGGGTGAGTGCTCGTAATAGTTGTTACACTGTATTATTGTTAATAGTTATCACTTAACATCAAGTGAACCTCTAGATCGCGCCACCACACAAATACTTCCAACTATGTTTCGTATGTTTCACTTTCCAAGATAATTTATTATGTATCCATTAAATTAAAAAAAATATTCAAATTTGTTGGATCCTTCATATTTGCTTCTTATACTAGAGCCCGATAAGAATTTAATTTGAATGTACCATAACAATTTATAATGTTGTTCACAGGCCCTGGTGCAAAATGTTCGACGTTGCCGGCGATCCTGGGAGGTTCCCTGCCGAGACTGTCGTCGGAACAGAACGAGGCTGTCTCCCGCGCCAAGAAGTATGCGATGGAGCAGAGCATCAAGATGGTGCTGATGAAGCAGACCTTGGCGCACCAGCAGCAGCAGATGGCCTCGCAGCGGACGCAGGTGCAGCGGCAACAGGCGCTGGCGCTCATGTGCAGGTCCTAACAACTTGCATACTTCAAGCGTTTTTTTACCATCCTTATACCGCTGAGGGTTTCAATCAAGATAGCTTAAGCAGGCAGGCAGATATAGCAAATGCTGTTCACAGTTCCCCATTTATTAGGGACTCATCATATTAGTTCAAGTTTGTTTTTATAACAATTAGTGTGACTCTTTCTGATGGCAAGTAATTGTTGCATTTTGATCACCTTATTTGGAGGTCTTGAAATGTAGTTTCGAGGACTTAACATGGGATGTAATTCAAAATGTTATTCCCTTTTGGGACAATGTCCAACCAACAGATTGTTATAAAATATTTTCATGAAATTTGGCAATTGTCATTTATTTTGATCTTATTGTCGTTTAATGTTTTTTGAGTATTTGGTTAATATAATGACTTTTATTTAGGCTTTATATTCATGTCCAGAGCCATATTTTCTGCTGAACTACCGCCAATGACCTATAATTATGATGAAAGCGATTACGTGAAGATCCCGCCTCGGCTGGTCGAGCTTATGATTTCTAAAATAGCTGAAAAGATCTGATTTAGTATTTCAATTATTCCAAAGCTTTATTTTAATTCATCATTATATATTGTTATTATATGTTATTTTTCCAACAGGGTATATGTTGGTTCAATATCATTTGAGTTGAAGGAGGACACAATAAGACAGGCGTTCCTACCTTTCGGGCCAATAAAGTCCATAAACATGTCCTGGGACCCAGTGAGTCAGAAGCACAAGGGTTTTGCATTCGTCGAGTACGAGATACCAGAAGCAGCACAGCTCAGCCTTGAGCAGATGAACGGAGTTATGCTTGGGGGCAGGTCAGTTAAATATCTTTATACTATTTCTCAAAGTCACTTTTTACTATCAAAATACCATGATATCAATAAATTTGATGATTCAGACTTTTTTATTATGTAAGTAGGTGGCAAGGGAGCGGGCGGTTCACCTGATGTTAAGTAACAACCGCCGCCCATGGACATTTGCAATACCCATAGGGTTGCAGATGTGTTGCCACCTTTTAATCAATTGGGCCCCGCCTACCCCATCACCACAAATAGAAGGATAGCACTTCCACTTCACGCCGGTCTTTTGTGAGGCTGTGGTACCTACACGGGGCACTTTTGGTTAAAAAAACAATACCTGAAACTATAAAATTTCCTATCCATAGGTAATTTTAGAGTAACTGTGTTTTTTATATTTAAATTGTGATGTTCTTTTTTTAAGGAATATAAAAGTGGTGGGGCGTCCGTCAAATATGCCCCAGGCGCAGGCTGTTATAGACGAGATTCAAGAAGAGGCCAAACAGTACAATCGCATTTATGTTGCGTCCATTCATCCAGAGCTGACTGAGGACGATATCAAAAAGTAAGATTTTGGCTTAATAAAAACAGTCCTCCTCCACGTCTGTCTGTCTGTTCGATAAACTCAAAATCTACTGCGGCAATCATGCTGTTTTCACCAATGGATAGAGTGGTTCTCGAGGATTTGAATAAAATATAATGATATTTGTTGGTGTCGGAGAAAAATAAGCTGTTTGGGAGCCTTCAACAAAAACCCTGCCTAAGCCCTTTTGGTACAAGTATACATTATAGCCTGGATTAAGACAGCCTCCATCCTTTCTTATACCTGGAATAGATTCCCATGGGTTGCGGGAACTGGTTCTAAATTCATGATTGCTTTTGGTAGCGATTACCAACAATTAGTTCTAGAATATTTTAATTTATTGTTAAATAACTTAAACATTAAACAAAATTAATTCTGGTTAGTTGGCATCTATTATAAGATAGTAGAGTTCGCAATGATAATATCTGCAGTGGAATAAAGATCACTGACATAGCTCAGAAGATAAGTAAAGCTGAAGTGGCGAGATGCCGGTCATATATCTTGTAGGATCGATTACCCATGGGAAAGAAAGGTTCTCGAGTGATAGCCTTGTATTGATCATCTCAGTGTAGAACGGCCCCCCGCTAGATGGAATGACGACCTGTGCAATGGGCGGGAAGTCGATGGATTGAAGTGTTTCGGGATCGTTCTTCCTGGAAGTCTGTGGGGAAGGATGATGTTGGGCAGTTGACTCTAACAGGCTGAAATGATGATGATTATACATATGTGGTGTACGATAAAAAGAGTTCACTAACCGTCAACAATTCTGTCGCGCAGCGTGTTCGAGGCGTTCGGGCCGATCACGTACTGCAAGCTGGCGCAGGGCACGTCCGCGCACAAGCACAAGGGCTACGGCTTCATCGAGTACGCGACGCTGTCCGCCGCGCTGGAGGCCATCTCGTCCATGAACCTGTTCGACCTGGGCGGGCAGTACCTGCGCGTGGGGCGCGCCATCACGCCGCCCGCCGCGCTCGCCGGCCCGCCGCACGCCGCGCCCATGCCCACCGCCGCCGCCGTGGCCGCCGCCGCCGCCACCGCCAAGATACAGGTGCGCCCCCGTTCGCCCCCGTTCGCCCCCATTCGTCCCCATTCGCCCCCATTCGCCCCCATTTGCCCCCAATTGCCTATATTGCGCCCACTGGCCCCCCGTGTCGCTTTTGACGACTCCACAGACGTAGTGGATAATGAACTTGTCAGTTAGGCCAGAGAGTGTAGGTTCGATCCCCTACTACTGGAAGAATATTTTGCGATAAACATAATTTAACATTATATGTGTTTATTTACAAAAGAAAAGAAAAAGTACCTATGCGTAAGTATGTTCATATCCATAATACTTAGCTTTTCTTGGTTTGGGACTACACTAACAATGTGTAAAAATGTTTTCTGCATAAATTAATTAATATTCATTCATTCGTGCCGTCGTAGGCAATGGACGCGGTCGCGAGCAACGCGGTGGCGCTCGGCTTGACGAAGCTGAACGCGCTCGGCGTGCCACCGGCGGCCGCGCTGCCCACGCTCGCCGCCGCGCTGCCCAGCCTGCCCGCCGCGCTGCCCGGCCTGCCCACGTTGCCCACGCTTCCCACGTTGCCCACGCTGCCGTCGCTGACGGCGCTGCCGACGATCCCCACGCTGCCCACCACGCTGCCGGTGCCGCTGCCGGCCACGATCCCAGCCACGCTGCCCGTGCCCCTGCCGACGGTGGTGCCGAACGCTCTGCCGACCACCATTCCGGCCGCGATCCCGGCGGTGATCCCGCCCCCCGGGGTGGTCATCCCCCCGCCCCCGGTCAGCGCCCGCAACAACGTCCAGGTAACGCCTACTTCTAAGCCTGTCTCAACGATTACAAGTACACTGGTTCCACGGTAATCCGTGGCATGGTGACTCGGTTGCGCAGTTGCCAAGGTATTGGCTTCGGCAATGGGAGGGTCGTGGGTTCGCCCTCTACACGGAACAACAGCTGTCTACAAGAAACAAATATATATAATAATATGTATATTTGTTTATTTTTTTTAAAACATTGCCCTTCATCAATATGTAATAAAATATTAATAAAACGCAGCAAGAAGTTTTTACAGACTAAACAAAAAAATTATTAAATGACAGATTACATATATCCAGATAAGGTGGCGCCACATGACTTGTTTTGAACATTTCAATATTTATATACTAATAAATATATGACCTATAGCTGGTTGTTTCGCATCTGGGTGTTTGTCCACAGGGAGTTGTACACTATTTGTAACGCACTATCGTACGTCACCACTCTCTTTACTCAGGTCTGAATTCGGTAGTCCTACACCGCCTCGCAATACATTATTCGGATTCTTTTTAAAACATTGCCCACACTTTAGGATAACGTTATCCGGAAAAATACTATGTTCTTCGCACGATATTTTTCCAGTAGTGGGGATCGAACCCACACCCTTTGGCGCAAGAGGCAGGTACACCGTACACTACCCAGTACGCCAATCGAGTCGTCTGATAGTCATTTTTCATGTTCGCATCGTTTCATTAACCGACTTCAAAAACGGAGGAGGTTCTCAATTAGACTGTATTTTTTTTAATGTTTTGTTACCTAAGAACTTTCGACTGAGCGAATCGATTTTGATGTGATTATTTTTTTAATTGAAAGCTGGTGCTTCCAATGTAGTCGCCCATTCATTTCATTGGTATTGGACCTTGGGCTCCGGAGATGCCTAGGGAACTCCTGAAAATCAATCGGTTTTGTATTTGTTTATAAAAAAAAAATGCCTTGTCGGCAGAACGACACGAAAGCCAACCCGAACGACGGCGTGGGGCAGCAGGCGGTGCTGCAGCGGAAGCTCCTGGACAGCTCGCCCGACACCCTGCAGCAGCAGGAGTCCCTCTCCATCTCTGGACAGTCAGCCAGGCATCTGGTTATGCAGGTGAGCTCGACTGTACTCGCTTGGCAGACACAACGTCCAGTAAGGCTAAAATTCGTAGGAAAACAAAGAACGAAAATGTTTCGCCCTTTCCTGTTGGAATCGGACCCACGTCAGTCGCTTTAACCGCTAACCTGAACGGCCGATTGTCGTTCCGACGAAAATCAGAACAAACTCTATGGATTACCGTTTTAAAACGATAATTCGAACGAGATGTCGCCATTGCTGTATTAAATTTAAATTTGTACGGTGCTAATTGCTGTACGGACATGAAACATTATCCTTAATCGTTTCAGCGGTTGATGCGGCGCCGGGCGTCTAGGACTGTGTTGCTCTGTAACATGGTCTCCGCTGATGAAGTGGACGAGGCGTTACATCACGAGATTCAGGTACCCTCACTCGTAACTGAACCGAGCTCATAGAGATCAGTACGCGTCACGCAATGAGTCGAACTTCTGAAGAGATGGGAAAAAGAAAACTTATCGGTCCATGGTCATTACAATTTTTTTTACGCAGGAGGAGTGCTCCAAGTGGGGCAGCGTGGAGCGGCTGGTGATCTACAACGAGCGCCAGAGCGATGACGATGGGACCCCTCCCACGCGCACGTCAAGATCTTCGTGCAGTTCGCAGAGCCTGACGGTGGGACGGACACTTTTTACATACTCAAAGTTCTACTAAGCACCATGCAGTTTTTAGGATTCCATACCCAAAGGGGGTCTCCTTTACTAAGACTGTCTGTCCGTCTGTCACCAGGCTGTGTCTCATGAACCATGATCGTTAGGCACTTGAAATTTTCACAGATGATTGATATTTCTGTGGCACCACATGTCCATGGGCGGCGGTATTCACTTAACTTCAGGTGAACCGTCTGTTCGTTTGGCAACTTTTCACATTAAAAAACAAATTATCTCATGTGTTTTATCTCTTTTGGGTAAGTGTTCACAAAAATGTAGGCAATAACGGTTCAATAAATAAATGTTAATTTTTGACGCCTTCTTCGAAACGATTAAAGTAGGGCAAGGGCCATCTTGTGAATTTTGTTTTTTTTTTTATAAAACATTGTCTTTACCGTAGGGTAACATTATCCTGTGTTGTAAGGACATTTTAAAAACATAATCTTCATTTGGATGGACGCCCAGATCAGAAATAATTATCTGTGGGGGTTGCTCCATGTGAGAATCGACCACGACGCATCGACCAGATGCATGGCGGGGCATCCAATGCCTAGACGGTTGTCTAGGCATTGGATGCCCCGCCGCCAACTTGGGTCAACGAGTCATCGTTGTTTTGTGGACACTTTCTATTCTTTATTCCTGACTCTCAACACTGCACAGTATGTTGTGTGGCACAGTTGATTTGCGTTTGGATGCACTTTGCTTTTTTGTTTGAGAGCAGGACGGACGACTCTCACTGAGCGTGTCACATTATCTGTAAAGTAACACGCGGTTTCTGTTCGCGCTTTGACGTTTCCCAGTGTCAGTGTCAGTTTGCACAGAGCAATGTATTCACAGAGGCGGCGGCGGCTGCCAGCGCGCTCGCCGGCCGCTACTTCGGCGGGCGGACGGTGCGCGCCACGCTCTACGACCAGGAGCTGTTCGATCACGGCGACCTGTCCGGCTAGCAGAGGGCCCGCTGACGGCCACGCCCACGCCCACGCCCACGCCCAAGCCCACCCCCACGCCCACAGACCACTCGCTCATAGCGAAGACCACGCCTATGGACGGTGATAACGGACATCACCTCGTGACAGCGTGGTCGAAGTTTGCAGCCCCCTTAACCACAGAGGCCTCCTCTACAGGCGACATTTGAAGGCCATTCACACGAGCCACTACTTGTCAGCGAACACTGCACGAGACCACATCAGACTTCTAGACAGATTACCTCTCGACTGCTAGTACTAGGATAACATTCTACGATTAAAATTAAAAGTTTTCGGTGACATGCTGTTTCTGACAGGGTAACATTGCTTCTGCCTTGTGTCATAAAATCTTGACTCCCCGTTTTTCAAGCTGCTCCTGTAAACATAAAAAAAAGTAACCCTTCACAAGGATGACTGCTGAGCTCTGATATTATCGACAATAAGATCATAATTATATCTTCTACTTCGTCTTTAAATGCAACAATAGATTTTAAGAATAAGACGCATCGAATAATTTCTAATATAGCGTCACTTCTCTATTTAAACGCGGTAATGTCATTGTGGCATTGGAAGTGGTGTAAAATAGCAACTGTATGGGCTTTATTTACATAGATAGTCACCAGTTTACAAGGTGAACTTTTAATTCGGATCTAAACGTCCGACAAACTCTGTTTATTGGTTAGTCTAGTCTGTAGCTTATGTCAGACAACCATAATGACTGCTTCTGTTTGTCATAGATTTGACATTTATTACCATGAGGGTAATACTTAATTCTAATGCAATATTTAATTATAATCCGATATTTATCAATAGCTATGCCGTCTTAAGCCATATCGGGGCCCTAGGGTATACGAAAATTTGAGTCCCTTTTGGAAAGTAAAATAAGTGAATGACAAAAACCATTTTTCTGCCAATATCTTGTTTTTTATTTATTCTATAAACTTCTGTCGGAATATATCTACCAAAAATAGAGAAAAATTGTATAGTTTAAGCCTCCCTGGGCACGGGCCCCGTGTACCCTTATGGTAAAGACTGTACTGATCAATAGGGAGGAAGGTGTGGGAAATTGTTGGAATATAGTAGAAGAGAGACCTTTCTATGTATATAAAAAAATCCACTTTCTTACCACACTCAAGATATTTATTAGCTAGAAAACTAAAAGAAAAAGTGTTCAATCTCGAAGACTACAATTGATCTATATGTAAGTCAAGTGCTTAATGTATATTAAATTAAGAATTTCTTGAGTGTGGCCTCAAAAGTAAAAACTTTAATATTATGAACTTGTATCTCATGGTCAGTGAAATTAAAGTTATCTAAAACTTTTCTCTTTATAAATACATAGAATTGTCAGCAAAACATTTCTTGATTAGTTTTGTCAAAATATGTATTTTTGTTAAAATGATAAACTTTGTTTTGTCGTGATACTCTTACTAAACAGAAGTTCTAAATCTGCAATTCCAATCACCAAAATTTTTACCCCGTCCCGTTTTTGTGAGAATCTTTATTCCAATTTCCAATGAAACGCGTATTGTGATTTTTTTATATCACAGTTCGTACACAGGAATTATAAATACGTCATGTTATATACATGGAATTTATTTCTCGCGTGAGAAATGTAATTTTCTACGTCCAGCACTAACAGTCTTATGAAAAGATTTTTGAATTGTTTCAAGCGTATATCATTAGTTAAGTTATTAAGCTGAACAAATTGGCGGGAAAAATCGGGCTTTTGTGACGTCACTGCTTCAATCGAACTATAGAACAATTAAATGAGCAAAAAGTTTTTATAGCTCGCGTAGTGTTTTCTCTCAACTCCTAAGTTTTAACGCGGTGGTCTAAATTGGGCAATTTTTTAACCGTAGGACATTTTTAACTCCCCGCGCATAAAGCGAAAAAAGTAATAGAAATGTAATATTGTGAAGTAGAATAATTTCTAATGAAACGAGACGCTTCCACTGTTGGCGATCTCGAGTCGATGTTGAGTTGGAGATGCCGACGAATACACATAGTTTACATACATTTCCACATAGTTGTAACATGAAACTAGTTTAAGTTAGGTTAAGTTGACAATGACGATTAGGCACGAATTGGTCTGTATAATTGTGATGATTAAAGGAAATTCGTTATGGCTTTGTTTTATTTGAGCGCATCCTATTGTTTTATGTGATAAGGTGGTGGATGGAAAGTTGCCGAAAACGAATGATTTTAGTTAGTAAAAGTTTTGTTTTGTGTATGGATTGCTTATTCGTTGGTAGGATATTAACATTTAATGTTGGCATAAAGGATAAATAAATGCCCTAATCATAAAAAAAAAACATTTACTGTTGGCTTAAAGGTCTTTTTTAATGATTGATCTTTGAAGTAATTGATTTACGAGGGGTTCGGAATGGATTATCCAAAGTGACTGGTTCACAATTTAGTACGTACGCACTTTAATCACTTTTTATTTAAATGTTTATACAGAGCACATATTGAACGGTCGAGGCCTGGGCGTAAGAGAGAGAACGAACGAAAAGAACATATTATGAACGAATAATAAACAGTATTGTTACCAGACCATAAAATACGCGGGCCGCCCAAGAACATTCGACGCTCGTGAGAGTATTAGTGTACTGTGATTCGACGGCACGCGCCATTCACAAAACAAACAGAATAGTGTAATACAGTAGTATGAGAGCAATAGTTTTATAACTAAGATAAATATTTATTTAAACTATTGAAAAAGTTGAGGGTAGCCCGGATTATCTATGGTATTTATGTCTTGTATCTTGTATTAACTGATGTTTGTGCTTTCTGCCCCGAGACTATTAAAGCTTCATCTGACGCAGAACCGGTGGGCTGGCCAGAACCCACGGGCTGTATTTATATGTAAAGTTGTCAAGCGAGCAGATGTTAAGTGAATACCGCCACTCACTGACATCTAAAAGGTCCGATGGCTGGCAGATGCGTTGGCAACTTTAAAAAAGTGGGCCCCGGCTACCTCACTTGCTAGACGAAACGCCGAAGTATAACATTTCCATTTCACGGCGGTCTTGTATGCAGACTTGGTATTTACACGGACGGATCCGACCTTTCGAGTAACAGTGAAGACTTGCGTGACCTTTGACACTGGAATGTAAAATATCTCGCCATGTAAACGAGGTCTGTAAAGTGTTCGAAATTCGAAATAGTGATAAGGCGATATTAAGTAAGAATTAAACATTTCAATGCTTTTACATTTAATTTTTTTTACAGTTTTTCATAAAAGGGTTTTTTGATTACGTTATCGGCCCAATTTTCAAAAGGTTGTCTACGTACCTGCAACCCTCGGGTGTAGCAGATGTTTATGGGCGGTGGTATTCACTTAACATCAGGTGAACCGCGTGCTCGCTTGGCAACTTTTCACTTAAAAAAAAAATAACGGTTAATGAGGTTGATGCACTCGTAACGTCTTACATTCAAAATTCAAATTATTCGCAATAAAATTCGAAGAGGGTAGCTTTACTCGGCATGTAAGTAAATAGAATAGATACAGATTTTTTTTTATACATGTGTATCGGGAACATTGCACCGGAATCTAACCGAGATGATTATATATAATGCAAATGTATACAACACAAAGTATACGCACGTATATTTTTGTACGTCTCTTACTCGTCTCTCGGTAATTATAATACAACGCGACCCCCATATTTATAAAAAAAAAAAACAGTGTGATCAAAGCCTGCGCAACCGGTTCCATCTGCTTTGGACCTAAATTAATTCAACGTAAATTACGAGTTTATGATTTGTTTAGGTCATTGTTTACGTTTTTAGGCTTACTGCATTGATCTGACAGATTGAGGAGTCACCTTGTAGCTATTGCGCATTGTGGGCTCAACTCCCACGCAACGCAAAAATGTGATTCATCAGTATTTGTACAATGCCCGAGTGTACTTTGACTGCATATTGTTGTTATTACATTTGTGTAAAAAAATGTCTTGTGACATAGCATTTTCCCTCATGGGAGCAAAAACTATATTCATGTATGTATGTATCTACTGTATGCGATTTAACATATTGAAATAGTTATAAACTGACTGCTGTTCTTATCGTTTATTATTAAAGTAATTTTTTATATTTATTGTTTAGTTTGTATTTGCTTTTTTAACTTAATATTTTTGTGTTCGTTTATGATTTTTCAATTAGAGAAAACTAACTGTTAAACTACTGTTTGTCCAAGATAATTATATATAAGTAATGAAAATATAGTGAACGCCTTATGTTTCCCAGATAAATAAATTGTGATGGTTATTAATGGTTCAGCCATTTATTACAATATTTTTTAACGTCGAGGGTCAAAGATTCGATTACGGCATGGGATAAGGAATTTGCATAAAAAAAAGTAAATTAACAGCCTATATATGTCCCACTGCTGGGCAAAGGCCTTCTCTATACAGAGGGTAACAGGGCATAGTTTCACGCGGCCCCATTGCGGATTGGCGGACTTCAAATATCTTCGAAATATATATTTTTTGTTATTATTTCGAAAATATGCAGGTTTCCACACGATGTTTTCCTTCACCGCGGAGCACGTGATAAGTCAGCACTTAAAGTTAAAAACTTCATTGGTGCCGGCACCGGGGATCGAACTCATGTTGCTCGAGTATATTAAATTAAAGGCCCGGATACTGAGCTGTCACGGCTCGAATTTGCATTTGCATATAATTACACCGCAATCTGTGATCTTTTCTCGTAAATTATTTATGTAAAACGAGATAAAAAAGGCGTTAATGTTATGTTGCATGTGTTGACTTAATGATAAAATAATTGCAAATAAAATGAAGCACTAGATGTTGTGTCAGGCTGGTTTGATACCAATAACTTTTGAACTCCACTAAAACAAAATGTATTAGATTTACTCTATCAAAGTTGTGTCACCAATCAGGAATCTCTATTGATGAGAAAATTGTACCCCTTGAGGATTCAACAGCATTTCTTGGAATAAGCGTTGACTCCAAGTTGCAATGGGGATTTCATGTATATAAGTGAGCTAAGAAATTGAGCGCTGCCGTCTTTGCCATACGCAAGATCAGGCAGCTAAGTAACGAGGAAACAGCGATTTTAATAATTTCTGAGTAACCAAATCAAAATAAGATTTACTTTGTGCTGAGTAAATTTATTTTTTACCGTTTAGTTTCCTGTTTGAAGTCGGTTTTTTTTTGTTAAAAATAATTTTATTTCCTACGTAAATTCACATTTAATCTCAGTTTTACAACGTTTACAACTTACATGTTTTGTGTGAATGATAATGTCATTTTGTCGTCATATTATCATTCAGATAAGATCACTTACACTCAATAATATAGCGATATCATATAACAAAGACAACTTATAACGTTATTATCAGCTTTCAATTACTCCTAATCTCGCTATTACACAAAAATGTAAATTCATATGTCAGTTTAAACACGTCAATAAACTTGTGTATAATGTACAAGTTTGAATTAGTTACCTATACAAGCTCTGGGTCCGAGGCCGAAGGGCAGGTAAACATTTCTCTTGTACGAATCAAATTCACCGGGCAGGAAGCGCTCTGGCCGGTATTGCTCGGGACTCTCGAAGTACTTCGGATCGTTCTGCATCGCTTGCACTGGAATGAATATCTGCACACCTTGATCGATCGTTAAGTCTATCTCTGGGAAGGTGTATTTGTCGACGCATTGGCGAACTAAAAATCCCAGAGATGGGAACATTCTCATGCCTTCTTTGAAGGCGCATTCTAGGTATGTCATTTCCTTTATGGCGTCGTAGCAAAGTTTGTTTTCATATTTAGCGAGTACTCGGTCGATTTCCGCTTGCACTTTTTTCTGTTTATCCGGATTGTAAGCCAACTGGTGTAGCGTGTAGCTGGTGGATGACGATGAAGTCTCAAATCCAGCAGCGAAGAATATAAAGACTTGCGCGGCCATTACCAGATCGTCCAACTCCAATTTAGCAATTTCCGGTGTTCCATCGGGTTTGAAATGTTCTATAGACTCACCCACTAGTATACCTTTCGCTTTACATTCCAACAACAGATCTATGAAATCGTTTCTTCCTGACGGCTGATAGTTCCTTTTCTTCAATATCTCATTCACTATCATTACTATATCAGCCTCCACTTCCGCTTGTAGTTTCACATACTTAAACACTTCGGGAAACATTATTTTGAGCATGTTCATAATGACTTGTTTCGTAGTTACATTGAAGATTTTCGCACCCAGCTGTCTGAAAGGGGAGTTTTCGTCGCTGAGTGAGTCTGATTCGAGTCCAAAGCCGCAGGCGCCGATGAAGTCTGTCGTGTAGCGTGCCATCAAGTCTCTGGCGTCCAATACGCGACCACTTGACGCGGCGCTTATAACGAGCGTCTGTAGCTTCTCAGCGCGTTCCACGATTAGAGGGAACATTGCCTTCAGCTTGCCGCTGGTGAAGGCGGGCGTCATACGTTGCCTAAGCAGACGCCAGACGTCGCCGTCCACGAAGAAAATGTTTCGGAGCATCGGCTCGATGTGCTTCTTGTGCGGATTGATTCCTCGCGGGTAGAAATGCACGAAGTCCGTCGTCAGCACTCGCTTGGCTATCTCCGGATCGCGTATAATCAGTTCTCTTCGGAACGCCCTGTAAAAACCCACCACCTTCTCATTCGGATACTTCCAGTACATTTCGACGAGCAGTTCTGTGGTGCTCATCCGCATGAGGAAGTTCCTTGCGTTGTTGCCGAGGAACGGGATAGGTTTTTCATGTTTGATGCCTTTCTTCTCCCAATACTTGTAGTCTTTGGTGCCGTATAAATATAGGACAGCTATTGTAATCAGCGCGACGATTATTGCAATCATTGTGAATGGTATCACTGTAGACTTATCAAAGGTTGGATCTTAAATAATGCTAGGCACTCCTGGCTTTGTGTTAAATACGTTCGTCGTCAAATCGACTAAGTCACGATGAATCACGAAGCCTCTAGTACGTTGGACTTTGTAACTTGCGTTTTGCAATATACAAATGATGTTGTGAAACGTGTTTATTAATAACAAGTACTTAGGTAAAGATTATCGTCGCAACAACTAAACAGTTATGAATTATCGAAGCCCGCCTTATGAGTATTTAACAAGCAAAGATTACGTGTGATGTTTGTTACCGCGCCACAAGGAACTGTATTTATTTACGGTAGTGTTTTGTATGGCTTCGTACAACTGTAATTATTAATCTTTTTTTAACGGTTTGCCGGATCCTTGCCATGTGCCATTGCCTAATTTTAATCTGCCATGAGAACTCCCACGATACAAGACTTCATTTTACGGGAGTAGTTTTTAAAAATTAAGATCAATCAAAATTGATAACGTGGTTTATTTAAATTTTTAAAATAAAAATTTCCCATTCTTTTCTATTTGCATTTTCATATAATAATGATTTTTTTTATAATTTTTCAAGTTTAATTTTGTTCAAGCTAAATTGATGTTGTCGATTAATTATCAAAATTAAACGACAAATTGTGAACAATTGAAAATATTTCAGATCAGAACTCTAGGATCAATTTGAGCCGTAAAAATTTTTATGATGGCCTTGGAATTTTAATCTCTGTAGTTAGTGTCAAAATATTAACCAACTGCTACAAATCCCTGACCATTTATGGACATTTCGTGACCAATTCGGGACACATTTGGTCGAATTTGGGCAGCTAACCTCACTCATTAAACAAAAAGATGATTTCTTTGAAAATTCCAACACAGATGCCAACCTAGATACTAGACCACTTAAAATAAGGTAAATCGCCCAATCACTTACTAATTTCTCGCATAAAGAAAGATGGTGAAAGTAGATATTTGCTATGTAATACGGCTTTTTTTACTCGATAATTATCGATAGTTTTTCAAAATGTCGATACGATAAATATCGATATATTTTTTTACTTGCCCACCCCTATGTTCGAGTCACCCAGTGCAGTAACGATGTATACGGTTACATTAGTAATGGCATCAGACCAAATCTAAGGAACCAAATTAGGTTTTTGCGTTTTGTTTCTTGAGCTACCTTCTTAGATGTTTGAAGACCATATATACAATGAATGAATGAATGAATTAATGAATATACTTTATTGCACACAAGGCAGAAGATACGAAAACATGTGTACAAACAGGCGGCGTTATTGCTCAGGTAGCAATCTCTTTCAGGCCCCATTAGGGTTTAGGACATACTTTATTATGTGTTTTGCGGGTTAATGGGGAAAAAATAATTATATTAACACATATGTAGAAAACCATCAAATATAATACATATCTATATAATGACATTCACATATATATGCATGTGTTGGCCTATATGATCTCGAACTAAGCACTTATACAGAGCACTTGTACTGAACACTTGTACTAAGAACTTGTACTGAGCACTGGTACTGAACACTTGAACGATTACGAGGATGTAAATAAAACTAGTATAACTTGTTTGTACTAGATCTGCATGCATTTATTTTTGCCAAAAAAATACTTAAGTTATCTTGAAGTACACTTCTCTAGCGTGATTACAAATGATAGCGCCATCTAGTCACCTTTTGACAATTCTATAATGATCTTTGAACAATGCATATTAATAAATATTTATAAGTGTGAAGTAACAAAAAAATTGACAACCAAAGCTCAGAGGAAAAAGGAACTTTGGGATGAAATTAAACAGGAAGGGAAAGGAGATGGGCTTTCAGGTGAAGGGACGGGGCTTGTCTTATAGACGCTTTTCTTACAAACAGGCTATACAGGCTAGGTAACACAAGTCATTCGAGCATCGCTGCCCGTGATGTATGCTCCTTGGCCAAACCGCAAATAATGAAGTAATACTCCGCCTACGGTACAGTCAATACTGCCTACAAAAGCCAATACTGCCGGGTAATCTTATTCTTTACTATCTATCTTATTCAACCTTGACATTGGAAGAATCATCAAGTAATTCCCTGATGGAGCCATTAAATTAAAATTTGAATTTGATGTGGCTTGCGCTACTGCCATCAATTCAGTAATTTCTCTCTCTGCCCAATAGGTTTTCTTCAAATTTCGGATGCCAAACAATCAACTCCAGTTTCATCTTTGGAGCCATCAGTAAATATTCGGAACAGACTCTATCATCCTACTTATTTCAACCTTTTTGAGTCCAGAAGCACGGTCCTGAGTCACCTGCATCCTTCGACTTTCCACTCATGTAAAAAAGTCGTCACTTCGTCGTGATAGTGTTAACAACGAAGATATCCTTAGTAGAATAAAAATAGCTGGCAAAGCTTAGAAGATTAATAAGCTGATGTGACGACGAGTCCTACAACTCGTTGACCCGATAACCGATGGGGCAGAAAGGCTCTCAAATAGCAGTCTCGTACCAGCGTAGTGTAGCACGATATCTCACTAGATGGAGACACTTAGTTTGTGAATAAATGAGATAGCCAAACAAACTTCGGAAAGAATAGATACATGATGGGACTTTTAAAATTGTTTCTGAATTTAGGTGTGTCTTTATTAGCTACCATTGACCTGCCCCGGCTTCGCATACATATAAACCTTCCTCTTATATCACTCTATCTAGTAAAAAAACCGCATCAAGATCCGTTGCGTAGTTTTAAAGATCTAAGCATACATAGCAACAGAGTGGGGCGACTTTGTTTTATACTATCTAGTGATATATTTTTGTACTTTAATGGGGTAAAGTGAAGTTATATACAAATTATTTGCATTTATAACGGAAAATACTCTTTGCTAACGCACAAAAAATCTTTTTATTTCACTTTAGTTTTTCTAATGAAATAAAATAAACAGTTTTGTATTTTGACGTTGACTGATGCAGGATCCAAGCCTGCGCAACCGGTTCCACCCGCTTTGGACCTAAATCAGGTTTTAACACTAATTACGAGTTTATGATTGCAGTTTTATGTTTGAGGCAAAAGAATAATCAACGCTTTGTTTACGTTTTTAGGTGGACGATATAGATGCGATATGCTGTGTGTGTTGTGGGTTCAGTGCCTTCGCATTGCAAAAATCTATGTGATACACAGTACTTAATGTACTAAAATATGTACTATATGTACTGTAACATGTTGTAGTACTTATACATTTGAATAATGAAAAAAATTTTTTTTTAAATTTTTAAATAGCAATTCTTTCGTTGGAATTATAGTTCTGAAACGATATATGGGATTGTTTGTGTGCTGTAAAGGACAACCATGATGCGCCGAGCATTGCTTAAAAATGCGAAAAACAAAGTAAATAAAATACATCGAGATTTTTGTTACTGTAACAATCAGCTGTTTAGTGGTTAAAGCGTCTGTGCGCGATTATGGAAGACGTGGGTCAATTTCCGTAGCGGTGAAAAATTGTCCAATTTTTCTACAAATTTTAATGGTTAATAATGCTTCGGCCGTTCACATAATTATGTAACAACGTCGATACGGCATGGGATAATAAATTTGCATTGTTCGCGAAATAATTTCACCGCGACCTGTGTTGTTTTCTGATAATTTATTTATCTAAAATGAAACAAATACGGGCTCATGTTATGATGAACGTGTGATCTGGGCGATAAAGTAATTGCGAAAATAAAATAATCAAATATTAACCTCGACCTAAGCAATATTTATTTATCGAAATCGTGACGATGTCGTTCAAGGTTGCGGAAATCGAAAAATGAAATTCACAGAACACGATAAAATCAGTAAAACCATCAATATCGTGGCGAGATTTATTTCATTTTTTGGGTGAATTTCACTTGTCCTTGTGAATATTTTATGCTACAACCAAGTTGAGTTCATTTAACATCCATCCATATATAGTTATCGGTAAAAGCCCGAATTAAAAAATTGTAATCTACTACTGTTTTAACATAATACAAGTCCATTTTATTAACGTAAAATAAAACCGACTTTAAATCACACTCTGTATTCATTTTATAATTGATTTTCAGGAGTTCCCTAAGCATCTCCGGAGCCCAAGATCCGATACCAATGAGATTAATATGGGACCAGCTTTCGAATAAAAACAGAATCATCAAAATCGGTTAACTCAGGTGAAAGTTATTTATTATTATTACATACATTAACAGAATACAGTTGAATTTAGAACCTCCTCCATTTTTAAGTCGATTATACAACAATAAGTTATTTAGAACTCGCTTTTATATACTAAACCAAAGGTTTGGTTTTCATATTTTTCATGCGTAAACCAAAATTATTTTTCCTACGTAAATTCACATTTAGTCTTAATTATTAAAATATTTACAATTTATATGTTTACACATATAACATCACATTATCATTCAGATAAGATATCTTATACTAAATAAGTAATAAACTTAAACAAAAATTTACAATGTTATTATCAGCATTAAAATTTACCTAATCTTACTATTACACGACCATATAAATTAATGTTTCAGTCAAAAACATGTCACTAAACCTTTGTTTAAAATTTGAGTTTTGTTTATTCTTTTTAATAAAACTAATTGGTTTAATTTGGTTTTAAGCTCCCGTAGTTCGGAATACAGGCATGGCTGGACAGGATTACACAGGTTTGACGGTCTGATGTCACTGTTACACAGGCCTAACGTCGGCTAGTAAAAAGGTTCGACCATGAATTCTATAAGATATTCGAATGGTAACGAGTTTAAAATGCAAATAAGCCCCGACCACACCCATAAATTTGTTTTACTACAATGTGTAACGTTCGCATACACAGAGAAACTATTACATTACTTCCAAAATCCGCACCACAAATGGCCTTGAATGTTTCCTCTACTTTGCGACTTCCTCCCTTTGACGGAACATTAAGGGTAGACCACCTTTAATAGACTGCACGATGCTATTCTTCGGGTTGACCTTGGGATACCTTACGGTGGTGGGACCTGGCTCCACCGAACTGCAGGATAGTACTGCCGCTAAACCGGCCAGAGACTGCATCAGACCTAGCCGCTCACCTGATTTGACAAGACATATATGAATGGTAAAGTAAACAGTATTTGTAAAACAACCACGCAATGAAACATATATGGAACAGTAAAGTATGTCGCCGCAAAGTCAATCTGTAACAGTTTTTCCACTTTTGGGTACATTTGTCTGTTTATGTGTCAATAAAATTCGACATGAAATTAGAAGCTGTAAGGTATGTACATAAAGCAACACTATTATTTAACCATATTAGGATGATTAGTTTTGAAAAATTAAATAATCTTGCTTGTCATTAAGGTCAGCGGTTACTGGTACTACGAGTATTTTTAGCAAACATATCTACGTACCTATACAAGCTCTGGGTCCGAGGCCGAAGGGCAGGTAAACATTTCTCTTGTACGAATCAAATTCACCGGGCAGGAAGCGCTCTGGCCGGTATTGCTCGGGACTCTCGAAGTACTTCGGATCGTTCTGCATCGCTTGCACTGGAATGAATATCTGCACACCTTGATCGATCGTTAAGTCTATCTCTGGGAAGGTGTATTTGTCGACGCATTGGCGAACTAAAAATCCCAGAGATGGGAACATTCTCATGCCTTCTTTGAAGGCGCATTCTAGGTATGTCATTTCCTTTATGGCGTCGTAGCAGAGATTGTTTTCATATTTAGCGAGTACTCGGTCGATTTCTGCTTGCACTTTTTTCTGTTTATCCGGATTGTAAGCCAACTGGTGTAGCGTGTAGCTGGTGGATGACGATGAAGTCTCAAAACCAGCCGCGAAGAATATAAAGACTTGCGCAGCCATAACCAGATCGTCCAACTCCAATTTAGCAATTTCTGGTGTTCCGTCCGGCTTGAAATTTTCTATAGACTCACCCACTAGTATACCTTTCGCTTTACATTCCAACAGCAAATCTATGAAGTCGTTCCTTCCCGACGGCTTATAGTTCCTTTTCTTCAATATCTCATTCACTATCATTACTATATCCGCCTCGGTCTTTGAGTGTAATTTCACATACTTAAACACTTCGGGAAACATTATTTTGAGCATGTTCATAATGACTTGTTTCGTAGTTACATTGAAGATTTTCGCACCCAGCTGTCTGAAAGGGGAGTTTTCGTCGCTGAGTGAGTCTGATTCGAGTCCAAAGCCGCAGGCGCCGATGAAGTCTGTCGTGTAGCGTGCCATCAAGTCTCTGGCGTCCAATACGCGACCACTTGACGCGGCGCTTATAACGAGCGTCTGTAGCTTCTCAGCGCGTTCCACGATTAGAGGGAACATTGCCTTCAGCTTGCCGCTGGTGAAGGCGGGCGTCATACGTGCCTAAGCAGACGCCAGACGTCGCCGTCCACGAAGAAAATGTTTCGGAGCATCGGCTCGATGTGCTTCTTGTGCGGATTGATTCCTCGCGGGTAGAAGTGCACGAAGTCCGTCGTCAGCACTCGCTTGGCTATCTCCGGATCGCGTATAATCAGTTCTCTTCGGAACGCCCTGTAAAAACCCACCACCTTCTCATTCGGATACTTCCAGTACATTTCGACGAGCAGTTCTGTGGTGCTCATCCGCATGAGGAAGTTCCTTGCGTTGTTGCCGAGGAACGGGATAGGTTTTTCATGTTTGATGCCTTTCTTCTCCCAATACTTGTAGTCTTTGGTGCCGTATAAATATAGGACAGCTATTGTAATCAGCGCGACGATTATTGCAATCATTGTGAATGGTATCACTGTAGACTTATCAAAGGTTGGATCTTAAATAATGCTAGGCACTCCTGGCTTTGTGTTAAATACGTTCGTCGTCAAATCGACTAAGTCACGATGAATCAAGCCTCTAGTACGTTGGACTTTGTGGTAACTTGTTCCGAGGAATTTTTTTGTGAAGTGGAAGTTATTCTTCCGCGTTTTGTCCGGTGAGTGAGGTAGCCGGGGCCCACTTTGTTAAAAGGTGGCAATGCATCTGCAACCCTATAGTAAACTTTTTCACATAAAAAAAAATAAAATCTGGTGCAATAATATTTCTAATGTCTGAAAGGTTACGAGCGTGGCGTGGCGTGTTCGTCGTCCTAGTAACCCTGTGTAGTAAAGACGTTTTTTTTTTATTAACTGATGTTTGTGCTTTCAGTCCCGAGACTATTAAAGCTTCACGTAACAGCACCGAAAAATGTGTACATGACAAGGTTATACTCTTCGGAATGCATGTTAACAGATCTTGGTACAGCACGTGTAGATAGTAATGCAGGAAAACAGGGTCCACCGCAGCCAGTTTTTTTTTTTATTAAAGCTTCATCTGACGCAGAACCGGTGGGCTGGCCAGAACCCACGGGAGTAAAGACGTTATAAAGTTACATCAAAAATCTTATTAGACTAAACCAAAGGAACTTTAGTAACCCGTACAGATGTTTGGAGACCGTAAAAAATGTCAAAAACTTGCGATGTTATATTATCAGGTACAAAGTGTGAGCATTTATATTAACCTTAAGTTTAACGTAATTTAAATGCATTTTTCACTTGTATTTATTTAAACGTGTTTGTTAACATAATTCTAAAGAATTAGGCTTTTACTCAAAGCAAAAAGGTAGAAAAAAATTAAAGCAATGTAATTTAGTAAATTTTCTAAACAAACATCTCAAGTTTTTAATTTTTGTGAATTTCTAGAAAAGTTTATATTCATATATTATGTATTTTTGTTAATATAAAAAATATATATATTTCGAAGATATGTGAAGTCCGCCATTACGCAGTGGGGCCGCGTGGTGGACTATGCCCTGATACCCTCTCTATAGAGGAGGCCTTTGCCCAGCTGTGGGACATGTATAGGCTGTTACTTTATTTTTTTTATAATAAATATTTAAGGACACATTTTTACACGACGTTCTCTAGTCTCAAACTAAGCAACGCTTGTGCTTTGGGTACTAGATAACTGATAAACGTACTTAAGCATAATTTTCTTTTGTAAATAAATACATAACAACTAGAAAAACACTGTTCATCACACAATATTTTTCCAGTAGTGGGGATCGAACCCACACCCTCTGACGCAGGAGGCAGGTACAGTACCCACTACGCCATTCGGGTCGTCAAATATATTTATGTGCATTTCCTTGCGCTGTATGTATCTTAAATAATTAATGTATTATTATATAATAATAAAGAAATATTAAACTTAATTATGCTTTAAAAACATTTTATTCACAATCATTGTCTATGCCAAAAAGCAATAATAGGCGCGTAAAAGTTAGTACATACATGAAAGTTAAGAGACATGATGATGTATTGTCTTGATTTTCTAGATAAGGTGATTTAAATTTAACATTTATCTGAAAAGATCATATTATTATATATTAATTCATTAAGGCCCATTTACACGATGCCATTTTCTTGTTTTAGACCATGCAACTTATTTATTGATTCAATTTAATTGTATACAACAGGCAAGAAACTGGCACCGTGTAAATGGGCCTTTAATTTCTTATCGTATTTGGTGCACGCAATTTCCGAAATCTACTTTAACCGCAAGTCTGACACCGCAGAAAATAAGCAATCGTAGCCAATGCGGAAGATACAAATAAATATTATCGCGGCGTAGACGAAGCTGAATTGATTGCGCTTGCAATAGCGTTGTTTGTCCGTCGGTCCGCACAGACGTGTAATCACGATAATGGTGTACAATTGGCAATAATTGATGGCTCCAGCGGCGAAGGCGCACCGCAATTCTAAGCACATAAACGGTTCAGTGTATCTGCGAAAGGCGACTCTATTGCAAGACAGGAATTTAGTGATCGCTGTATTTACTTAAAATAATATTTAAAAGTCTGAAATCCTTCTTAATAAGAATAAAATCACAGTTCAATGTCCATATTCATCAGAATGTTTACATGTTATTATTTATATATACTACTATAAATATTACTTTGTTAAACGGTGGCAACGCATCTGCAACCCTACGGGTGTTGCAAATGTCCATGAGCGTCGGTTTACACTTAACATCAGGTGAACCGCTAGCGCGCTAGCCACGTTCTCACATGAAACATAAAAAATCACACACACATATTTGCTACTGTTTTTCATTATCTATTCACATTATTTATACCATGTACGTAAACTCTACCCTGTATTTATATTGGTTACATAATTCAATTTATTTTAAGAAATTTTTATAAATGATGTGGGTATTTCTGTTGCCGCTGTAACAAAAAAATATTTAAGTGGAGCTCCCATACAACAGACATGATTTTTTTTGCCATTTTCATAGATATTGGTACAGAATCATTCGCACTTCTCGTTGAGTCCGACTCGCACTTGGCCGGTTTGTTTTCAAAATTTATAAATATGGAAAAGAAACACATATTTCGACATCTTCTAACGGATATCAAAAGGAAGTTTTTTCTTTAGTTCGACTTAGCGGAACTAACAGTACGAGTAGCCTGTTATTTAAAACTGACCTTTATATTCCCGATAAACCTTTTCAAAATCCCGCAGTAACTAATTGCGTTTTAAATTACGCAAAAATAGCTAACGATGGCGCCATTAAATGCCCCCACTAAATATTTAACAATACTTTTATGTTCAAACGATGGTAGGTATAGGTTCTTCGTGTTATTATATACCAATTGGGAAACATCGATAAAAAGTTGTATATCGAAACTTTTGGTATATCCCGAAATTTTAAGTATTATGTTTAAAAAGAATATTCAGAATTAATAAACATTATTATCATCGGCAATTAACTATCTCATTCTTGAAGGTATGTAAGGTAGGCTTTCACGGCAAACGCACTGACGCAGTAATGTGGTGACTAGGCTGTGTGATTACTTTGCAATGAAGTTTTACTATCTGCCCTATAAGGTACAAAGTGTAAGCATTAGTTCATCATATAAATAAAATCATCTTAACTATCATTGTCATCAGTGTGTTGTCATCAATTGATACGTGCATTCTTCTATGCCTCCCATCATATGCGGACCTCTAATTTCTGCATCTAGACATATCCGGGCGTTCATAATGGGTCATACACCCATCTCGATTTGGAAGAAATTGTAAGCCGCTGCCTACACTTCTTCATCTAACTTCTTCTTCTTCTTGACACTCTTGGCAGAATGGTCGTGGCTGTCGATGGACAACATTGCGTCCCGTCGTCGCTTGTCGCTTCCAAGGCAGCCGCACGTCTAGCGATGTTCCTCCATTGGAGGCGGCCGTTAGCATTGCGAGCACATTGTACTGCGGTGGCTTTCGCAGTGCCGGTGATGAGGTCAATCCAGCGTGGGAGGCTCGATCTCGGGATCTTCTGCCTTCTACATGGCCTTGAACGACAAGTCTGGAATTTTTCTTTCTGGAGATGTGCCCAAAGAACAGCCGATTTAAAAGAAGAATAATGATCGATCCTTTTATCATCTTCCGCTTCCGCCTTTTAAGAGCTACAAGATTACGACACTTCTAATTAATTTAAAAGTAGAGTTAGAAAATCAACATCACGTTTCCCATCATAATCAGTATCATCGTTGCGGTATCTACCATCGAGAATGTTCGGTTCAACCACACTATTTGAGCCACCCCCACCAAACACGACACTCGGAATTTCATTCGGAGAAACATCTATCATGGAGCGCATGGATGTTGGGATGGTGACGAGCCATCATCCACTTGCCCTGTCTAGATAGGGTAGGTATAGTTTGTGCATTATGGTGTTAGGTGAATTGGCTAGGTTTCTTAACGACTTGCCGTCTGGCCGCTGTCAAATATCCGTGAGAAAAAACACCCAGATTTGGAACAATTATTGTTTCTGGGCCACACAAATACTTGTCCCATCTGGCAATCGTACACATGCTTAGGAAATGCGCCAGTTACAGATAAAATTTATAAACACTAAACGTGTCGTAATTCATGCATAACTGTACCAATGACATCAAAGTTCGCACTATTATAACTCAGGTTTATTATTTTCAAATTGACATTAAATGCTTACATCCTCTACCAACATATTATTTTTTAAGAACAAGGGCTGATTAAGGTATAAGATACAATGTTATATGTATAAAGTATATGTCGCGTATATTCTCTTCATCCTGTTGACCTCTGGCAAATCCAAAAGAAAAAAGATTCTTGGTGCCAATAGGCTCGAGGTTCTTTTTTGCTATTTGTTTTCAGCTAATTATGGTCTTACATTCTGGTATAATAATGTAGTTCAAAAGACATTAATCATTTGCTTATCGCCCTAAACGATCTCTCACCATGACAGGGAGAGGTAGACAGTTAAGGTGCAAATTGCGATGTTCCAACTACATAGTATACAAACAAAGTAATCCCGCTGTGTCTGTCACTATGTATGCTTAGATCTTTAAAAATACGCCACGGATCTCGATGCGATTTTTTATATTAGATAGAGTGATTCAAGGGGAAGGTTTGTAATTGTATATTATACTTTGCACCCGTGCGAAGCCAGGATGGGTCGCAGTAATTTTACAAAAGATTAACGTGCCAGTTAGGGCCCAGTGGTGAATTTATCATGTCAGGGCGCGGGTACTATCTATTTACTATTCTCTTTTCTGGAATAAAATTTGTTCCCGATTCGTGAAGTCAACTTCACTGCTAAATCAGCTTCATTAAACATGATTCATTTACTTGTCACTATGTCTTCCCTGTTTGCAACACTTGAGATATTTGTTTGTTATACATAAATTATAGTGCATATAAATTACATGAGGTAAAGTTTGTAT